AAAGTAGATGCTTTCACCCCAATGAGGAGTTCCACAGTTTGGGCATAGTTTTGATTGATTGATTTGATTTATTGTCACATATACCTAAGTACAGTGAAAAGCTTTGTTTGTGAGCAGCATAGGCAGATCATAGTAAACTAGGAGAAACAGATCATTGGGTGAAATAAAATCTTGGACAGAGTAAGGCACATAGGTTACATTGCACAGAATGTGTGCGAGGCAAGATCACCATTACCAAGATAGGAATAATTTGAAGTTAGAGATCCCATTCATCACTCAAATAACGGCAAGGAAGAAGCTATTCTTGAATCTGCTGGTGCATGTGTTCAAGCATTTATATTTTCTACCTGACAGAAGAGGATGTAGGAGAGCATTACCTGGGTGGGATGGGTCTTTGCTGATGTTGGCAGCCTTTCTGCAGCTACGAGACATGTAAATAGAGTCCATGGTTGGAAGGTTGGCTTCTGTGATGGTCTGGGCTGTGCACACCACCTTCTGTAGTTTCTTACGGTCCTGGGCAGAGCAGTTGCCATACCAGGCCGTTATGCACCCGGACAGTATGCTTTCAATGGTGCATCTGTAGAGGTTGGTGAGGGTCCTTATGGACATGCCAAATTTTCTGAGCTGCCTGAGGAAGAAGAGGCGTTGTTGTGCCTTCTTGACCGTTGCATCCACGTGGGAAGTGCAGGACAGGTTGTTGGTTATTGTCACTCTGAGGAACGTGACGCTCTTGACCCTCTCAACCTCCACACCGTTGATGTAAATGGGGGCATGTTACCCTCCATTCCTTCTGAAATCGATGATCAATTATTTAGTTTTGCCAACATTGAGAGAGAGAGAGAGAGGTTGTTACCATTGCACTATGTCACCAAACCCTCTATCTCTTTTCTGTATTCTGACTTATCATTGTTTGATATCTATCTTACCACAGTGGTATCGTTAGCAAACTTGTAGATGGCATTCATTCGGAATTTGGCAACACAGTCACGGGTGTACAGGGAATACAGTAGGGGGCTGAGGATGCATCCTTAGCGGGGCTCCAGTGTTGAGTGTTATCGTGGAGGAGGTCCAGTTGTCTATCTTCACTGATTGCGGTCTGTGGGTCAGAAAGCTGAGGATCCAATTGCAGAGGGCAGAGCTGCGATCTAAGTCTCGGAGTCTTGAGAACAGTCTGGAGGGGATAATGGTGTTGAAGGCAGAGTTGTAGGTGATGGGTAGGAGTCTGACATAGGTGTCCTTGTTGTCTAGATGTTCCAGGGACGAGTGCAGGGCTAGGGAAATGGCACCTGCTTTGGACCTGTAATGTCAGTAGGCAAATTGCAGGGGATCGAGGTGGGCAGGGAGACTAGAGTTAATGTGTGCTCTGACCAGCTTGTCAAAGCACTTCATGATTATTGAGGTCAGAACCACTGGGCGGTAGTCATTAAGGCACGTTGCATCTGCTTTCTTAGGTATGGGGATGATGGTGGTCTTCTTGAAGGTAGGGACTTTGGCTTGAAGGAGGGAGAGGCTGAAGATGGAGGTGAAATCATCCACCAGCTGGTCCACACATGATCTAAGTGCACAGCCAGGGACTCCATCCGGGCCCATCGCTTTCCTTGAGTTGACTATTAGGAAGACTGATCTGAGGTCTGCAGTGCTGACAGAGGGAACAGGTGCATCCAGGGCTGGTGACACTGTGCTGCTGGTATTCTGCTCGAACAGAGCACAGAAAGCTTTGAGCGTATCAGGGAGGTATGTGTCTTTGTCCGCTATCTTGTAAGTAGCTAACCATAATGGGCATGTCATAATCAGATTGTAAGTCTCCTCATGCTTAACCCTTGCAATTGAGTTGGTTGGGAAAGCTGAGGGGGCACTCGTATGTAACCTCTTCAAACGTAATACTGCTGCCTCACAACACCAGGGACCTGGGTTCAATTCCAGCTTTAGGTGACTGTCTGTGTGGAATTTGCATGTTCTTCCCATTTCTGCATGGGTTTCCGCCGGTTGCTCTGGTTTCCTCCCGCAGTCCAAAGCTGTGCATGGTAGGTAGTTTGGCCATACTAAATTGCCCATAGTGTCCAGGGATCTGCAGGCTTACGTGGGTTAGCCATGAAAATTAGGCAGTTACAGGGATAGGGTGGGGGACTGAGTCTGGGTGGGATGTTCTTCAGAGGGTCAGTGCAGGTTTGATGGGCTGAGTGGCCTCCTTCTACACTGTAGGGATTCTATAATTCTAATGTCATGTGGTGGATTGATTTACATTGGCAAGTTTGTGGCTACTTCATAAGTTAGATCGTCATTCATGAGGGGATACATAGCTAGTTTGTAGAATTGAAGTTGGGTGTGGACTAGTTAATTGATTAACGGATCAAAGTTAATGTAGAAGCCAATTGGTGCATCTATTTAATATCTTGTTTGATGAGCTTGCTATTACATTGCTATGGTATAATAGTGGAAAATGAAATGTATTGCATTCAAATATAACATTTTTCTTTGGCTAAAGTATTTTTCAAGACCCACTTGCTGATATATCAAATGCAAATGTGTCTTTTTTGAGCTGCTGGAATATTCAATGACCTTCTGTTCTGAGGCAACATAAAAGTATCATTTTCTTGGAGTTCCATTTGCCCTGTGCGACCCTATAGCATGCAAGCAGGTGGTGCACCCTGAAATCCATTCAGCCTGTGGCCTATCAGCAAAGACAGAGAAAGTGCAAGAGTGAGTAACTGTAAACTTTCCTGCATCATCCTCACTCCACTTTGTTGTGTACTTTATATCTCTCTGGTCTACACCAAGACAACATACCAACTTCTATATTTAATAGGTTTTATTGACAATGTTTCAAAATATCTGCTCTGTGCTTCAGCTCTGGCTCCCAGCACTTTCTACAGCTTATTTACTTTTCTCAGAGTCTACATCCAAGCTTACCAATTGAGTACAGTGATCAGCTATTGTAAACAGATTCACATAATGAAACGCAGGACAATTGAACACTACAAGGGGATCCTGACAACAAGCTGGAAAGATGCAAGGATCCCTACCTCAGCCATTTTTGGATCCTTAGCTGTCATATATGGAGTCGCAGGTAGACAGGATGGTGAAGAAGGCATGTGGCATGCTTGCCTTCATTGGCCAGAACTTTGATGTTGGAGTTGGGATTTCATGTTGCAGTTGTACAGAACATTAGTGAGGCCACTTTTAGAATACTGCATACAATTCTGGTTGCTCTTCTATAAGAAGGATGTTGTTAAATTTGAAAGGGTGCAGAAAAGATTTACAAGGATATCACCGGGACTGGAGAGTTTGAGTTGTAGGGAAAGGCTGAATGGGCTGAGGCTTTTTTTCCCTGGCATATAGGAGGCTGATGGGGTAACCATATGGAGGTTTATAAAATCATGAGGGGCATGGATAGGGTGAATAGCCATGATCTTTTCCCCAGGATAGGGGAGTCCAAAACTAGATGGCATAGGTTTAAGGTGAGAGATGAAAGATTTAAAAAGGACCTGAGGGCTAACTTTTTCACGCAGATGGTGGTGCCTGTATGGAACGAGCTGCCAGATGAAGTGATGCAGGCAGGTACATTTAAGAGGCAGAGATAGTAGGAACTGCAGATGCTGGAGAACCTGAGATAACAAGGTGTAGAGCTGGATGAACAAAGCAGGCCAAACAGCAGCAGAGGAGCAGGAAGGCTGACGTTTCGGGCCTAGACCCAAAAAGCCTTCCTGCTCCTCTGATGCTGCTTGGCCTGCTGTGTTCATCCAGCTCTACACCTTGTTACCTCACATTTAAGAGGCATCCAGGTTGGTATATGAATATGAGGAGTTTAGAGGGAATATGGGCTGGCATATTTGCTGGCAAATGGGACTAGGTCAGATTGGGATGTCTGGTTGGCGTGAATGAGTTGGGGTGAAAAGTCTGTTTCTGTGCTGTGTGACTCTATGATTCTATATCTATCCAGCAATTAATTTTCAGCTTTACGGTTTCCATGTCTTTAAAAGGTGAGATATCACCCCTAGGAGATGCCAGACAGTGATGGGCTGATTGCTTTTCAGTCCCAAGCGTACCACTGGGAGTGTTGGTCACTCTGAGACTACACTCAATGAGACGAAATAGTGATGAACACCACACTTGTAACAAGGTGAGTGGGCCTGGAGGTCATGCAGATAGGCCATGATGAGACGGGGGTCTAGTGGATTGGTGAGAATTGCAACATCCAGTCCCCAAAATCAAGCCTTATAAATGTACTGGTGATGAAAATGAGGCAGATCAGCATTATCCCTATCTTAAAAAGTCATTGAATCCTGGGCAACTTAACTCCGCTGATAATGTGGTGATGACTTGCAATAACTTCCAAAGGTAAAACCATCTTTCCTCACTACAGGTAACTGCATTGCCATCTTCCCCATTCTCATCACTTTATATAGCCTAGACTCCAAATTGCTGCCTGTGAGTTTAGAAGCCCAAAATCTTAACTGCGAACCCAGTGGGAGTGCCAACTCCTAGTTTGGGAAGTCCTGCCCTGGACTAAATCACAATCAAACATAGTGATGCCAACCCCAGTCTTTTTGTCTCTGGTTTCTTAAAACTAGCCAGTGATGCACTTCAATATTGGTTAGCAACTGTTGCGAAACGTTGTTACACATTCTAGAGCAAGTGGGGCTTGAACCTGCGTGGTCCAGCTCAGGGACAGAGGAAGGATTACACTTATAAAAGGAAAGTGCGTTTACGTTTAATCAGATAACGCTAGCCAGCACACCCACTTGATCGTTACTCGCCCACTGTCCCTTGAACTGAGGATGGTTTTGAAACAGTTCTTAAGACATACAGTGTGTTCCATCAAACTCCAGCGGCCAGCCACAGCGAGAGAAAAAAATTCCTTTTCCAGCGAACAGCTGCGATCTGAACATTCTCACGGAGGAAACATCGACAGCAACCCCTCCCACTATGTTCTTCATCCGCTCGACTAAGTCACAGCATAACTTTACAGAGTTACAATCAATCTCCTCCCCCACTCCACACACACACACAAACAAACACACAGTCACGTTTAAAACTAATGGGTTGCTGTATTTCGTTGGCTGATGGGCGGATCCTGACACTGAGCAGAAGCTGTGCTCGGAGTTAGGGGTTGAGTTAGACATTTGTTAGCAGCAGGAGAGGAGCTGATGCTGGAGTGGAATTTTAACCCGGACCAGGACTAATCAACTTGTCTCAGCCCCTCCTGGCTTCAGTTGCGGTTCTTTTCCCTGGGAGACCCGAACGAATATAAGCATGTTGACTGAAATGTTTTCTTATCGAAGACTTTTTGGATCATTTAATTTTGATGCCTGTCTCTGAGTTTGAGACTGAGTTTCCCTGTGCAGTATAAACTCTCTCTTCCCCTCCCCATGGCGGAGCTGATCGAGCTGCGGGACTTGAGAGAGGACACGCTGAGTCCCAGCAGCCGCTCGGTGTACCGCTCGTCCGGTTTGGAGAGGACCAACGCCATGAGGATCAGCCCCAGGAGCCGGGCTTGCAGCGTCCAGGACATGGGTAAGGCGGCCAGACAAGAGCGCAAGAGCCGGCAGCGGTTGCTGGTGGTGGATCAGGAGCCGAGACTGACTGAGAGACTGGGGGAAGGACACGATTTCAACCCTTGCACCCAGACACAGCCCAGCTGGTGTGACCTGTGCGGCGACTTCATCTGGGGTCTATACAAACAAAGTCTGCAGTGCGCAAGTAAGTTTCTCACACACACGATTATCTTGTTTTACAAACATGCATTTAAAAAGAAACACGAATTAATCTGAAATAAGCAAGAAACAGAAAACGTATGTGTCACAGTATCTTTGGTAAGGGACAAAAACAGAAGTTGCTGGAAAAGCTCAGCAGGTCTGGCAGCATCTGTGGAGAGAAATTAGAGTTGACGTTTCAAGTCAAGGGACCCTTCCGCGGTTTTTATCGTTACTAAGAAGGCGACTTATAACGCTGGGGTGTGACTATCCACTAAAGGGAATACAGCTTGGAGATCAATTTTAAAAATACGGAAAAGATTTCGCAGTGCATGTTAAATGGATTGTACATATTTTCTTACTTTTATGTCATGATTTTGTGTATTGTCCGTCATATCAAACATATTCTAACTCTTAATGTATGCATTATACTATCAAACTCAGTATTTTCCCCATATTACTAACCTTTTGCTGCATCCTGTCAGATTTACAGTATATAAATACATGCTATCACACAATATGCTATTGTATACTGTACAGGATTCTGTGTTTGGTATCAGGCTATATATGGTAATAGATTAACATTGAGGCTTTCTCAATCTTCCAAGTATTCAGTTTAACGAAAGGAATTAGCTTTGCAAGATCAAGCCGGAAAAGAGTGTGTTTGAGATGCACTATAAATGCATTGTAAACCTTTCAGTTAGACTGTCAACACTGAGTAGGTGGAAAAGGCACTGAAACTGATGAAAACAACATGAAAGAGGCCACTGTCATCACAAATAAGTGCTTTTGGAACTTTTCTTATTTAAGTTGTTGCTAAACTCTTGATGTAATTATGCAAGAACACAATAGAAAAACCTCCCTGCATTGCAAGCATCGCTTTGTATCTTCCCAGAGTGATGCCCATTGTCACACAGTGACACATCTTCGCTGCGGGTCCTGTTGGCAATGAAGCTGGCCGATTGTCAGAATGAGAAATCTCCCCAAGCTTGGCTTGCTGTGTTTTATATTTGTGTTCAGCTTTGGTTCAATAGCATGCTGTGATTCAGAATTTTTTTTACCAGTGGGCAGTAAGCAGTGGCCATCTTTGCCTGCAGGCTATGCTCATCAGGGGTTTAAAGCAAATGGTCAGAAAATTGTAGACAACCTCTGGCAGTGTTGAAGCTGGTGGGCAGGACTGTCCACTGGAACGCACTTGTCAAAGGAAGAAAGGATATGTCGTTATATGGTGTCTTTCACAAACTCCGGATGTCCCAAAAGACTTTGCAGCCAGTGACGTATTTTTGTAGTGTCATCTCTGTTGTAATGTTTTCAGCAGATTTTGGCATATGACTGTGTTTCTTGGCTTAATGTTAGATATATCCTTTTTAGTCGGATAGAGTTGTAAAATCTTCTGCTGAAAAGTGAATGTCAGTTTCTTTCTGTCACTGAGTGCAAAGCAGCTTCATCTACCTGCATGGTTGGGAATATTAGCCAGCTCCCAGTCAGCAGCTGATAGGGTGCCAGAGGACATCAATGGAGTGATAAACTGACATCTCCTCCTGACAAGTAGGAGATACTTTATGACCAAGAAGTGAATTTGAGGTACAGATTAGCCATGATATAATTGATATGGAACACTGAAGGGATTGAATGGCCTGATATAGTTCCTATGTTTAAACTACTGGTGTGAGACCACACTGGGAACTCTCAGTACATAGAAAATTCATCCCAGGGAGAATTGTCACCTTTCATGGTTGATTTTGACCAATTCATGTACAAAGTTGGGCTGGGTCAATTCTCCAAGCCTCGCTGAGTCTGCAGGCTATGTAGTTTGCACCAGCAGTGTTCCTATATCATTGACTATATCTCTACTGACGTTAATCAGCTCCTGCACTGCTGCACTCTTCCACACCATGTGGAATCTTAGACATTCTGCTTCACCTGAGGCAGTCCCTCAGGATAAGCATGATTTCACTTCCACTCTGCTTTGACGGTTTAGAAGATAGCTGAGAAGTCCAGTACACATCACAGTAGAGTGGCACAATAGGAGTGTGCTGGGCCCATAACCCAGAGGTTGATGGATCAAAACCATCCTCTGCTATTTACATTAACAAAGTGGTGCTTGTTCTGTAAGTAGTAGCATCTAGTTTAGGGCGGCACGGTGGCTCAGTGGTTAGCACTGCTGCCTCACAGCGCCAGGGACCCGGGATCAATTCCAGCCTCGGACGACTATCTGTGTGGAGTTTGCACATTCTCCCTGCGTCTGCATGGGTTTCCTCTGGGTGCTCCGGTTTTCTCCCACAGTCCAAAGGGTTAGGTGGATTGGCTATTCTAAATTGCCTGTAGTGCCCAGGGGTGTTTACGTTAGGTGGGTTAGACAAGGGAAATTTAGGGGTAGGGGAATGGGTCAGGGTGGGATGCTCTTTGGAGGGGCAGTGTGGGCTTGTTGGGCTGAATGGCCTGTTTCCACACTGTAGGGTTTCTATGATTTCTATGACAAGCTGCAGACTCACCCACGTGTGGGACAGATGGTCCTTGGAGGGTGAAATAAATGTATGGGGTTTGCACACTCCCTTCTGCACTTAGACTTCACTTCTGCATGTTACTGATAAAGTCTTTCATTGTCTTCCCAAATTAACATTCTGCATTCGGTTCTGATGGTCTCCCATGAGTCAGCAGGGATGTTTCTCCCCTTCAGCAATGATTTGATGACATTCCTAAAGCAGTACCACTGTTTTCCTCGGAGTCTCCAGTCTCAAATGCATTCCTAGTTGAACAGCTCCTTTGAGAGGTGTCCTGCCTAACAGAACTGGCTCTGAGTGATTAACACTTCTGTGCTGGACATGTTGGTTTGGGAGGGGTTGCCGCTGTTGAACTGCTACTGTACTCCAAGGATCTTGTGAACTGCTGGTGGTATTCAAGTACTTTGAGGTGCTTGCTTTGGATTATCTCAGTCTCTGAAGCATTTAGGAACACAGGGATCACTGCTGTCTGGTAAACTCTAAGCCTCATTTCGGGTCTGTGATCCAGATCCTCTAATACACTAAATCACTTGAAGGCTGACCTGGCACATTGTAAGTGATAATGGATTTTGTCATCTCTCTACCTTCAGCAAGAACAAATTACATGGAAATAACAGCATAAGCAGAAGGCTATATTTGCTCCTTTGCACCTCTGTCAATGCCCTGTCATCAGCCACAACCATCTACTCCGATCCCTTGTCTGTCAATCTTTTCCTTATCAATTGCTCATCTAATTTCCTTTGTAAACAATTGTATAATCTTTCAATAGCTAAATCTGGCACTGTGTTCAAATAAACCTCTACTGCTTGGCCAACTGTGAAGGTCATCCATCACATCCGCTCCTTCCTCCAAGTGTCGCACCCTCCGTACTCCCATGACCTGTCACCTTGCATGTTCACGAACACAGTTCCTACCTTCCTAGATTAGAAAGAAAACAGGCCCATATTTGTCAGATTGGATGACTCTTGATTGGTTGTTTCGCAAGGCTGGTGAGTCTGAAGATTAGGAGTCATACTGTCTAAGGCTCACATTTTGGATTGTGGTGAAGAGAAATTTCTTCATTCAGAGAGTTATAAACCTTCAAAATTCTCTCTCAATGGATCCTCAGTCAATTTTCTTATTGAATGGCGGAGCAGGCTCGAAGGGCCAGATGGCCTACTCCTGCTCCTAGTTCTTATGTTCAATTAAATATAACCAAAACTTCGATATTAGATTTTTTGCCTTTTAAGACACTTTAGAGAAAGTGAGCAAAATAGAGTTGATGACGAAATTTGAACTATGATCTTACTGACTGACAGACCAAGTTACACGAGTCTATGGCTTACGCCTGCTGTAATTTCTTATGTTTTCATACCATGTTTAATACTCTTTTTTTCAAATTACAAATGTGTTTGAAGAAAATGGAGATTTATTTTCAATGTCCCAATGGTGTTTCTCTCAGACTGCTTGTAGCAGTGCTCTGGAGATGGTTCTTTATTTCCCGGAGACCCCAGGAAACTCCTGGGGGGCCCTATTACAAAGTATGACCAAAAACCAGAAGCAGTACAGAGGTAAAATGGACACACTTTCTTTATTGCTGAACAGCACTAGTACGACATGGATCCTGACGGTTTTTCTGATGTCTGCCTAAAGGTGCAGCAACATATATTTCAAATGTGATTGAATGCCAGAGGCCTCTGCCCTCAGACTTCCTCTGACAGCACCGGTTCTACATAAAGTAAGCTGTTTCTCAGAAAAACCTCAAGCTACTAAACTCAGAGCACCTATTTGTGACAGGGATTCACAAGAAAGGTCTTAACATTTGACCGCAGGTACAAATTGTTCTGCTGCTGGACTTAGTACAAACAACTGTTGGTATTTCATGCTTAGCGATGGAGGTCACATATACTGATCACCTCCCTCTGTGTCGGTTGGCGGGGCTGCAACATCCAAGATAGCTGCTGCAGTCCTTCAGCTCAGCCTGCTTCTTAAGGAGTTGCTTCCCCACCATACTTTAGCATTGATTCTTCTTGTCTGCCAACCATCCCCAAAGCTGATATTACACGTCTCTGTTAAATGAGAGAAAACTATAAAAATCCTGCTCCATTGCTTCTCTCCCTTGAGGTTTAACTGTGGTGTCCCCTCTGGATGTGCCTTTAAAGCAAGCAAAGTGTTCAGATGACCAGTGACCATAGCCAGTATTCCCACAAGACCATTCATGTGGAACTGTCTTTTAATTCAACTGGAGAACAGGCTCAAGTCCCTCATTTTTCAGTGGAACACACTTCCAATGTGCCCTGCGCCAATATTCCTGGACAGTGTTAGAAGAGAACTTAAGCTGAGTTAACTTAGAGTTGAAAATTAAAATGTTATGTTAGAATAGCTGTCTTGTAACACAGATCAGCTAGTATCTTCTGTTACCTGCTGGATTTACTGATGGTAGTCTATTATCTAGTAATCTCTCACTGGGTCCCAACTACTGCTGAGGTACAATATTTTGCAATTACTTGCCTAAACCTACCTG